CTCCTGCCAAATCCTCCAAAGCATCAACCTTGATGGAAACTTCCTGAGATGAAGGCAGCGGTGGTGGCGGTGGCAGGCGCCAGATGGCAGGAGAAGGGGAAAGGCAGGAAGGAAGCTAAAAATAATCAGGAACACTTTCTCCTGCCAGGAGGCTTGCCAGGGCTGATCTGGGCACAGGGGTCAAAGCAGTCCTTTCTGCCAACTGGGGAGGGAAGCAAAGTCCAAAAGGGAGTAGCTGGGAAAGGGCTAAGGATGGGAGGAGGAGGAAGAAGGAGAGGAAGGTTGCAACTGGTTTTGTGAGGCATTCCATTGTGAATGTGCACAAAAGGGAGAGAGGTGGCTTTTGTGTCTTGAGCATAGAGCCCCTTTTCTCCTCTGCCACTTGCATGGCAGGGTTGCTTGCTTTCCGGTTGCTGCAGTCACCTTGGTGGACAGACCAGGCATGCATCCACACTGCGCCATCATAGCAGTTTGCACTTTTATGGCCATGGCTCTATCATTTGGAATCCTGGGATTTGTAGTTTGCTGGAGGCACATGGCCTTTCTATTCCTTTTCCCCCAAGGAAGGTGTGAGAGATTCCCAACAGAGTTCTTTAGTATCTCACAAAATTTGCAGATACTAAGTTTGAGCCAAGGGGGGATCAAAGTATAGTTGTGGGATGTGGATATGCTCCAAGTCATGTGCCACATTTTCTCTCGCAGGCACCCCTCCCTGGGTATCAGGTTCATTGCAGAGAGAGAGAAAGGTTTCGCTGCATTTCTTTCACAATACACAACACGTTGTATAATGTGGGAGCACTTTGAGCTCCCATTAGTGGCCATAATTGCATCCTACAAAATCATGGGATTTGTAGTTTGGCGAAGCATTATATCTCTTGGTCAGAGAATGATAAATACCTCATGGAACCAAAATCCCAGAGTGCAGCCTCGGCAATTAAAAGTGTTGTCAAAGAATTATGACTGTGTAATTCAAAAGAGGATTAGCTCTGAACCAGAGCATGGAAACTTCATTTCCAGACTGTGGTTGAGATCCTACATTGACAAGATTTGGTGTAACTTTACACTCATGGAGTTATGCCACATTTGTGCTACACTACCTTATTACAGAATTAATTGCAAAGTTGCACAAACAATGCTCATTGCACATTGGTGCATAATGCACAAACATGCAATCAGTACACAATGATGGGCAATGGCACTCCATATGTTACTCTGCTTAAAAGTGGTGCCATCGATGGGCATTTCTTTCTTCCATGGGTTGTGCACAGCCTGTTTGCTTTCAGCCCTCCCATCCTCAAGGTGTCCTGAGGATTGGTTTGAAGAAGGAAACTTCCATTGTCTCTGGTAGCCATTCACTCTCCCTTCTTACTTAATGCTTGTGCTTTGGAGTTTGCATTGTAATCCAAATGGTTGGAATTAGAGGAGGGTGGATTGCAGCACCCAGCTTCTTTCCTTCATCAGAGAACAACTATTTCTTCTACACCTTTGTGGGCAGAGAGGAGGTTGTGCTTGGCAGCATGTGGGCAAAGGCTAGCTTGGGACCAGATGTGGGGCCCAGGGCTATTCTTGCAGCTCTCCGCTTGTGCAGGTTCCCCAGGCTGTGAATTGCAGAACTCTCCCTCCACTGTTCAGCATCCAAAAATACCCCATCTCTCTTTTTCCCCTCCAAAACCAGAAGTTTGCCTGATTTGCCTTTTCCTTTTTGTCTTTTTGTATGTCCCCTGAAGGGGAAAAAATGTCCCCCAACCTACTACCTCTGGAATTAGGGGTGGTATTTCTATATTAGCTGAAATATTGTGTGTGTGTGTGTGTGAGAGAGAGAGAGAGAGAGAGAGAGAGATGCTTTATGTAACTCACTATTTGGGTCTGTGTGTTTGTGTGTGGGTGTGGGTGTGATCCATCCCCACAATGTGTTCATAGGAAGTCTGGCAGGAGGTGTATCATGCAGCGTTTCAGCTTTGGTTTTGCAAAAGAAGCATGGCTTCCTGGCCCTTGTGATTTCAGGCAGGCAGTCGAGGCTATGACAGAACTCCAATATCTTTGTGTGGCTTTATATGAATAGTTCTGCATCCTCCCTCCTTCCACCCAAGAGCTGTCAAGGTCCAGGTGGGTCCTCTGTTGTTCTCAGTTCCTGGTGGGAAGGAAGGAGGGAGAAAATTCAGACCATAGAAAAGCAGATGGTCTCAGCTTGGTTGAAATGAGGGTGTGCTTACCTTTTTCTTCCCTTGGGAGCCCAGAGCAGCGAGAGCTTCATGGCCCCTATTGCCTCCTCCTTCTTCCCATCCCCTCTGGTTAGTGACAGCTGCTGGGTTTTTTGGGAAGTTTTTGGATGGAGCTGAAGGCCAAGTGAATCCAAGAAGGGACTCATGTGTGTGCAAACTTACTACCAGGATTTTGGCTGATGTGTGCTGTGCCTCTGGGGCTCCCCCAAGCAAAGAGAGGCCAGAGTGAGGCCCAGTGGTCGGACAGGGATTCAGTGTTCTGGGTCTGTCCCCCACCCCTCGCATATTCTGAATTCAGAGTAAGCTGGATAAATGGGGCCAAAAGCAAAACAAATTCTGCCAAATGGCCAGATGTGCCAAGAGAAGGGGTGGGAGAGACGGAGGGAAGCAGCCAAACATGCCTTGCGGCCACATTTATCCAAACAATCTTGATCTGTGCCATTTCCTTGGGCTCTGAAACCTCTGCTTTTCAGCGCCAGAGTTTTTCTGCTCCTTTGATTTAGGACTGAGATATTCGTCTGCATGCGGCAGAGAGACTGGGTTAATTTCTGGAAGGATGCCGTTCCTCTGTCTGGAAGGGGAGTTAGGCGGCTGTCACCATCCCCATTGCTGCTTCTCTGCCCATGGACCATCAGAGAGGTCAGTTTTCCTGCTGCTCTCTCAGTCACCGGTCTGCCCTTCTCCTTCTGGCCACCCCTCATCCCAGCCTTATGACAGGGCACTCCTGCCCTCTTCTCGGAGTCTTCCACCCTCAGCTCTGCCTTTCCAAAGAGACCAACTCCACTGCACAGGACTGGAGCAGCCCTTCTTCTACCATGGATGCTTGCCATTGGCTTCTCTGAACTGGCTCCATCATGCACTGTTTCGGGTGGTGTTCGCCCGTCCCCTTCCCGTTGTGAACCTGGTGACAATAAGCTAATGCCAGACGGTGTAATAGCTGCGGGTTTTGTCATGCTCGCCTATAAATAAAGAAATGAAGGAAAGCAGGCCCTCTGTTAACTCTGGGATCTGGAAGGAAGGGGATCTGGGATCGGTGACTTCTCAAATGCACATGAATGTCCTAGGAAAATTAATAGGTGTGTTTCTGTTTCTCATCTTTTGGTAAAGCAAGAAAGAGGAAGAGGTGGGAGAAAGAGCTAGCGAATGGAGAAGGATCACAGGACTTTAAAGGGGTGCCCAAGGGTCATCTAATCCATCCCCCTTTCAGCAGTGCAGAAGATCAATATCCAGGATTTCAGGTATAAGAGAGCAGGATCCCAGTTAAGTCAATCCTAAGAAGGGAGCATCCAACCCTAAGGCAGCAGGCCATGATTGTATTAAGAGGAGATACTCGAAGGAAGAGGGCTACCAGTTGCTGCAATGTGTACTTGAGAAGCAGCCAACTTTGACAATTCTCAGGACCCCTTTGTTCTGCTAATGGGATCAGGGGCAATTTGGCCACTGAACTGGTACCACCCTAGGCATCTAACACTGATCTCCGTGGCCAAATGTCTACATCATTTCAGAGAAGCATAAATACCCACTGGTGGAGTTAATGTTACATAACTCCTGTATGACTCATGACTCCCTAGAAAGACAATAATGCTTTGTAAGGTGCCATAGCGGTTTGAGTGTTGGACTAGGACTCTGGAGGCCTGGGTTCGATTCCCAGCTTAGCCATGAAACCCACTGAGTGACCTTGGGCACATCACAGGCTCTCAGCCTCAGGGGAAGGCAATGGCAAACCTCTCTGAACAATTCTTGCCCCATGATAGGGTTGCCTTAGGGTAGCTATAAGTCAGAAACGACTTGAAGGCACACAACAACAACAACAACAACAGGATGGAAGACAGTCAGAAAAGAGGTCAATAGATTCCATTAAGGAAGTCACAAAGGGTCTGCAAGAGCTGAGCAGGGTGGTTGAGGACAGGTTGACATTCCTAGGCTGTCAGAAGTCAAAGTCAACTTTCTGGCAGCTAACAACAACAACAGACCCCTATAGTATACACCAATGTGCAGCAACAGATATGGATCAACAACATGGTTGACAACCTATTATGCAATTAAAATGGGCACAAAGACTACTCTATATACTTGAATGTGCTACCATGTACACAATGGTTTCATGTTTGCAACTCTGCTTAAGCCACAAGCTAGGTGCAACTATGCATTGTCCAAAATACATTCCACATGCATAGTGCAACTGTGCATAGTGCAACTGTGCATTGTCCAAAATACACTCCACATGCATAGTGCAACTTACAAGTGCATGAAGAGAATGTGTGTTTGGATATGCTGTCAACTTATGGCAACTCCATGAATTTCATAGGGTTTTCTTAAGCATGGAATCCTCAGAGGAGGTTTTTCCAGTTCCTTCCTCTCAAATATAACCTACAACACCTGGGATTTGTTGGCAGTCTCTCATCCAAAAACTAACCAGTGATGTCCCTGCTTAGCATGGATCAGATGGGATCTAGTGCCTTTAGGTTATTCAAGCTCCTTGCCAGACCATAATTGTCTGGAGGCAATCCTAGCCCCTGTGTGATTGGGCATCATCTGGTTACACATGGAAACCAAGACAGCACCTGCACTGCAGAATTAAATGCAGTTTGATACCACTTTAATTGCCACGGCTTGTTAAAGCCAAACTAGAAATCTGGGAATTGTAGTTGTGACACCAGAGCAGAGCCCTCTGAGGAGCGACTTAAGGAGCTGGGTCTTTAGCCTGGCAATGAGAAGGCTAACCGGTGACATGATAGCCCTTCTTGACACTGAAAAGGATCTAGGAGTCCTAGTGGACCACAAGTTGAACATCAGTCAACAGGCAGCTTAAAAAGCCAATGCGATCCTAGGCTGCATCAATAGAGGTATAGTGTCTAGATCAAGAGAAGTAATAGTGCTACTGTATTCTACTTTGGTCAGGCCTCACCTGGAATAATCCTGTGTCCAGTTCTGGGCACCACAATTCAAAAAGGGTATGGACATGCTGGAGCATGTCCAGAGGATCCGGACTCTATACTCCTTTTGATACAGAATAGTTTTCAGTCATTATTTCTGAATGAATAAAGTAGCTGCGGAGGAGGAGAGAAAGAAAAGAAAAGCGAACAGACGAATACACAAACACACTTTTTTCCCTTCCGCTCCCCTGCTTTTTGGAGCTGAAATCCTGGTGCAAGTGAATGCCACACTTGGGGAGCTAGCACCCCCTGCTGTCTCAAGGTAGAAATGACCAAGCCAAATCTTGCCAAATATTATGATAGGAAGGGAGAATTGTTGTTGTTGTTGTCGTTGTTGTTGTTTTTAAATGGTGATAACTATGTTATGAGAAACAGCATGGGGCCTGTGGTTTGAGTGATGGACTGTGCCTCTGGAGACCAGGATTTGAATCCCTGCTCAGCCATGGAACCCCACTGGATGACCTTGGGCAAGTCACACACTCTCAGCCTCAGAGAAAGGCAAAAGCAACCCACCCACCCCATCAACAAACCTTGCCAAGAAAACCCAGTAGGGTTGCCTTAGGTAAGGTCACCAGAAGTTGGAAACGAGTTGAAGGCACACAACAAGAACAGAAAAAGTGATTTCAGACTCTTTTAATATTTGAATTTGGCAGAGACTTTCGTATTTCTAAAGAACATCATATATATATATATACATATATATATATTGGGACGACCAGCGCAGGGAACATCAGGGCCAAGAGGAGAGAACTCCTTGCAATGCTTCCTTTGTGATCTGGCAAAAAAGAGAGAGGGTTAGGGAAGCTGGCAGCAGGGACTGAATCCCTCCATCTTTCCCAGCATCCTTGGAAGGAGAAAAGGGCAAGAAAGAGTAGAGCAATTGGTTAACCATGTCAGATGTTATCTCCGTGAACATCAGCCTACACTCTAGAGCAGTCTTCCCCAATACCTAGCACCTTCCGAGTGTTTCAGACTACAACTCCCTTCAGGCTGGAGAAAAGTTATTCCAACATGAATATCTCCTTTCCTAGTCTTCTTTGCATTCAGCTGCAGCCTGGCTGCTGGGTAGCAGTGGTTAAAAACACAGTATCACAGAGACAGAAGGGAACCCAAGAGTCATTTAGTTCCAGCTCTAACACCACCACCATCACCCCAGCCAGCCATCTTGCTCAGTTGTTGGTGAGGATCAAGCTCAAGGGCAGCTCTAGAAGGCATTCAGGAGACAACAAGACAACAGCTGCTCCAGAGCAATAGCATTTACCTTTCTATATCACTTCGTAGTGACCTCAGCACTCTAAATGGTTTACAGTCTGTAAGCCAATTGCCCCCAACAAACTGGAAGCTCATTTTACTGACCTAAGAAAGGATGGAAAGCTGAGTGGACCCTGGAGCCCTGGGATTGAACTCACAACCTTGTGGCTGCAGGACTGGCATTTTACCACTTTCCCACCAGGGCTCCCTTGGGTTCCTTTGGGGCTGTGGTTTTCAGCCTAGACTGGTCTTCCAGATGTACAAAAGTTCATCTCCCCAAAGCCTCAGGCAGCATGACCTTAGGAGACCATCATCCCATCTCAAGGTGTGCAGAGCATCACTTTCCACATGCACAGCTCTGTCTCACTCCTGATCCCAGAAGGCAGTGCTCAGGCCCTGGGGACACTGTCACAGCCCTTTGCTGGCTGAGGAAGAGGGAGGGGGATGCAACCAGGCAGCAACCACCTGCCCTTCTGCAGCCATGGAGGAGAGGTGGGGTTGCTGTCCTATGTCTCCCAGGAGTCCAGCGAGTCCCCCAGCTGCAGGACAGCATCTGGGACAGATGGTGCCTCTTCCCCTCCAGCCGGTGAATGCCCATGGCTGCGCCCCTGGGGCCTGGGAGTTGCCCAGGAGTGTGATCTGGATAGTGTGCAAATTCCTCCTTGCCCAACATCTCAGAAAAGAGCAGTAGGTGGCTAAGAATGCCAACTAAAGCTGTGCAAAAAAAAAAAAACTTCAATAAAAGTATAAAGAAGTTACAGTTGCCCTTCCGTTCATGTCTGCGGTTTTATATATTCATGGAGGGGCAACCTCCATTTAAATCAATGGGGTGAGTTCCGGCACACGCCCATGGGGGACATCCTATTCAAGCCATAGGGCTTGAATATTGATAAATCTCCATTTTCGCGAGGGTGGGTGGGTTCCGGAATGGATCCCCCACGAAAATTGAAGGCCAACTGTATTTTGTTTAAAAAAATAACAATTAAAGCTAAAGTCCAAGGCATTAAAATTCATTAAAAGGCTGTATACAAACCAAAAAAACAAAAAAACAAAAAACCCAGCACTGCACATCATTACAATTGTTTTGCTTAAAAGCATTAAAATTCTTGCTCTCTGCTCCTCCAGACTTGGGAGCAATGGATGCAAACGACACAAGAATAGTGAAGACCAGGCTGCCTGCTTTGCCCCTGAGAGCAAGCCCTCAGGAC